TGTGTATGTACAGAGGAAGGTCTTCGTCGTCTCTCACTCGTAGCGCAGCCCAGCAGGTCTGAAGCAGATAGAGCAATATTTTCACCCAGAAATCCCAAACGCCGCAGTATCCCGTGTCTCGTAGCCCGGCTCTGTGCTCACGTGTGGAGCAGGGCGTTCGGGTCGTCGGTCGGTCGGTTAGTTAGTTGTGTCTGAGCGGTTGAAGCAGCAGGGGTCTTTCTGGTTCCCCTCAGCAGCTGTTGTCAAAGCAAAATGCCATGCTACAAAATACTAATGTACTCAATAACTGTACGTGGATGTATATTCATGAAAAATAAATTGGTAAAATGTGCAAGCCTTGGTCGGTCTCATTCTGTTCAAGTGTAAAGCTTATTAGTTAAGGTTGTAATTTAAGCATCAGTTTTATGATTGGTTGTCAATAGGTAAATATTTGTAATGATTCAATGGCTCCACTAGGCGGCACCGTTGAGTTTAAGTTGCTTGTTAAATTTGACCACTCAAATTATCAATTCTGATTTCATTTAATAATAAAGTGCAACCATTTTTTGAGTGATGAAATAGGTCTGTTATTTCAAAAGATGGAGTTTAAAGATTAAATGTGTAATTGGTTTATATCATTAAATGTTGCTAAAAGTAACGATCATCTCAGTTGGTGAAAATTTGTAATGGAAGAGAAAAAAATTTGATTAATTACAAGAAAAAATTATATTGCACTTGTCTGATGATTTTATTATTTTGATTATTAATATTTGTATTGCGAAATCGACAGCATGCAATAGTTAATTTGAATCATAAACGTTAAATTAGGATAGTTTGATATCGAGTCTTGTTAATATATTACTAATGTTATAGTATTAAACGTTTTTATTTGTATTTTGAATCTTATTTTATATATATTTTTAATTTTACTAAAAAAATTAATTTTAGTAGTTTTGTTTTCGTTATTTTTAGTAGTCAGTGTATTCGATTTTTTTTATGGTTTTAGTTCTGGATTTAGTTATTATAATAATCCTGATGAGTGCATATTGTAAAAGTTTATAAATTATTTAAATTATTGTAATTTAATATTTATATTAACTATTTAAATCTGAAGAGGAATATTTTAATGCTAGTTTGTTTCAAATAGTTGAAACATTGTCTTTTAATTACATAATACTATTGTAATATTTAATTTATTTCTCTTTCCAAATGTTTTAAATGTTCACATTAAATGACAATCTATTTTAGAATAAGACTGATTCCTAAAAATGCTTCCTGTAGGTATAGGCGCCTTATTTGGTTTTCTGAGACAGTCCGTGATGAACTTGAGTGTGTGTGTGTGTGTGTGTGTGTGCTGATGTTACGGAGTTGCGTGCATGCAGTGGGCGGTCCGCGCGTGAGAGAAAACCCCCGCGCGCGCTCCGTCCCGATCATCACAGTCCTCGCAGACTAGGGACTTCCATCCATCCATCTGTCCACCCTCAGCCCCAAACCCGAACCCGGAGCGTTTGATGCGCGATCGGAGGCGATGCTGGAGTCCGGTGGCGGCGCACGCGTGCTGAAGGAGGGCGTGCTGGAGAAGCGCAGCGACGGGCTGCTGCAGCTGTGGAAGAAGAAGCGCTGCGTGCTGACCGAGGACGGACTGATGCTTCACCCACCCAAACACCACCACCACCACGACACCGGCTACAAGGTGAAGGAGCTGCACTTCGCCAACATGAAGACGGTGGACTGCGTGGAGCGCAAGGGGAAGTACGTGTACTTCACGGTGGTGATGTCGGAGGGCCGAGAGATCGACTTCAGGTGCCCGCAGGACGAGGGCTGGAACGCGGAGATCACGCTGCAGATGGTCCAGTACAAGAACCGCCAGGCGATCCTGGCCGTCAAGTCCAGCCGGCAGAAGCAGCAGCTGCTCGTGGTCTCCGCGCAGAAGATGCTCCGAAACGCGCAGTAGGACGCCGGAGAGCCGCGGAGATCGACGGACATTCCCTCGCGCAGAGCGGAGCTCGCGGGCGTCGCTTTTTATTAGTGTCACCTTGTGCACTTGGACGCGCGCACGGACGCTCTTCATGCATCACGGCTGAATAACCGCCGGGAATATCTCCTCAGAGACTGAACGGGGGCCCGGGGCAAGTTGTCACAGTGACTTTCAGAGTCAAAAGTCCATTTGCATGAACGCTCGTATTGTCTAGCAGTGGTTATGCGTGTTGCTTTAAAACATATAGTTCAAAGCAGACTTAAATTAGAATGGGTTTTGTGAATTCTGCCCTCCAAAAGAGAACTGTCATGATTGTTTTGTGTAATAGGCATTTGGTGAACTGTAAAACCATGGGATTTATTAAGGTAAGAGTCATAAATATAGATAAATTGGGAAAAATGTCCCAATTATCCTGAATGAGCTCCTAATGAAGGTCGATTTGGAATCTCTTTTCAGGACAAGAGTATTTTCCAAAAAATGTCAGGTTGGGGCAAGTTGTCACATCGTAATTTATAAAACTTTTTTTTGTATCTTTCTTGAATTGCTTTGTTTGATATAATTTGTATTTTTTTAAATATAATTAAAATAATACATTTTTAAAAAGTTATATTTCTTAAATATTTTTGAATATTTTTTCCCCAAGTCAGTCAAAAAATTAGAATGTTCCCATTGTGACAACATGCCCCGCTAAATGCATTCAATGAACCATATTTTCTAGACAGGAGTAGTGTAAAAGTTCATATGATTTTTTTTTTTAGCAACGACTTTAGAGTCTGTATTCATACAAAAATTGACTGGTCGAAAAACATACACTGGAGTATAAGGTGTGACAACTAGCCCCGTCTCCCTTATAATATGTTGATGGGTTGTAAATGTGAAACGCCTCCAGTGCGTCCTCGTTCGTCTGGCTCGAACAGAAATGCCACCATCACTTTCCATTATAGCGCAGCTGCATTTGTCAGTTGTGTGCGGCTCCGGACGTGTAATCGATATGTTCCGGGAGACCTGAAAGGCCAATCTGTTCCGGTCCAGATCGCAGTCTGCATGCGCGTGTGCAGGGATTTTAATGAGACTCCTAAACACCGCGTTCAGTGTCACACTGGAAAACCCAGTGATCCTGACAGATCCACCAGCAGTCATTCACGGAGTCCCTCACTGGAGATGCACAGCGTTTAATGTGGCCATGAAATCTGCATATGATTATGTATTTATTTGTACATACTTTTTTGTAACAGGACATTTGCATATCTGAATGTTGGGTTATGTTTGTTGAAGTACACTTAAGCATTTCAGAATCTCACAATAAGCTTTTGATTTCCGTTTGTTTGTGTAACTGGTTTGGATGCACGATTCACATTTGACCAAGTGCTTTTTGTTGTTATTCAAACCAAAGAATGTTGAAACATTTTATTGGGTGCATGTGCATCATGTTGACATGACTTAACTGGTATTTTATTAAGGTTTGATCATTGCAGTCGTTGACTCAACTGGATATTGTTGATTCATGAGAAATGTCCCGATGCTCTGCTGTCGAGTCCTGCGTGTGATCGAGCTGATGTTTGCTTGTGTGAAAATGGTGTTTTGTTGATTGAACGGCATGGTTCCTTGAGCTGATGTGAATGCCACTTTCATACCTTGGAAATATACATTCCATTTCAAATGAACATTGCATCTTTGTTTTTGTTTAGTGCAGTATATTGTAGGGATTTTGCGGTACCAAGATGTAGAGGAGTTTGTTTCTTCATCAGATTTGGAGAAATTTTGCACTGCATCAGTGTCTCAACAATGGATGCTCTGCAGTGAATGGGTGCCGTCAGAATGAGAGTCTAAACAGCTGATAAAAACATCACAATAATCCACAAGTAATCCACACCACTCCAGTCCATCAGTTAATGTCTTGTGAAGCCAAAAGCTACCTGTTTGTAAGAAATAAATCCATCATCAAGACGTTTTAACTTCAAACCGTTGCTTCCAGCTGAAATACAAGACCATAATCCATAATAATGGCCATGTCCTGTTGTGTGTCACATCAAAATCCACCCACATATTTGTTCAGCTCTGTTTTGGACTGTTTTGGCTTGTAAACGCTGTTTGGTCTGTGCAGATTTCT